AATGTTATCTCAGGAGACTCATCAAAACCCACTTCCACTTCGTGTCTATATTGCCACCATTTTTACAAGATAATAAAAGCTTACAAAGAGACTTTGGTGGACCTTATAACCATTTAGACAAATGAACCCTGAGAATTTCAGGCCATCTTTCCATCTGAATCGTAGCCTAATTTATTCACTCCTGACTGATGGGGTCCACCTGTCCTGTGTCCTGGCTTAAGGCTCTGGTTCTACGAAGATTTCCTCATACAGAAAGCACTTTTTGTGGTATTCTGCTTCAATTTCCCACCTGGCCGCGTTGAGGCATGACCCCAAAAACATTTGGCACGCTTGGTTTTCGATGTTTTCAGGTCCGTGAAAAGCTTGCATCTCTGATTAAGTGGCTCGTCAATTATACAAAAAGGCAGTTTACTCGGACGCTGGGCAATCATGAAGAAGGGGTGGACTCGGCCCTTGGTCGTTTGATCTGATGCCAGGGAATAGGCCTTAATGACATTGTGAGACCTACTCTTATCATTCTGGGAAAATTATTCTATCAGCCTCTCAGCAAAGTATGCGACTTGGCAGGAGGCTGCAACCCTCAGCCCACTTACATGATCTGGGCAAGCAGAATCTCCACGTTGGTGCGTAAACAAGTTCCTGTAAGAATCGCCTAGAAAGTGTCTTCTGGCCAGACTGAATTTTTCTGTTCTGGAGTCTCTTTGACAGTCTTTCGTTATCTTCTGCATTCACCGAAATCGAATATAACAAAAAGAAAGCTGAAGCCGAAAAGTTGTTGTTTTATTGTCGAGCTCACTTCCATTTCGAGTGAAAGTGTTTGGTGAAGAGATTCGAAGGTCGATTCCATCAGTAGACGATGTTGGATGCCTCTTGAGCAGCTGTCGGTTGGCTCTACTGGAACATCCATGCCGATGTTGTTTCGGAGGTAATCTTCTTCGATTCCGGTGAAATGGTGCTAAGCTTTCGTCCGTCACATGACGAACATCATCAGCGCGTGAGGTATAAAATGATTTGGTTTTTTCCAACCACATGTCAACCTCGAAGCATGCGAGTGCGTCTGCCTCTGTATGTGTGTGCTTGTATGTGTTCACATATGCACGAAACCAGCAGTGATGGCTAAATGTAATTAGGACACAAACACGAAGTTTCACTTTATGCATAGTTTTAATTTGCCATTTCCTCAGCAGCTCATTTATCTTTTATCTTGGTTCTGATTATAGTCACTTCTATGTACTTTTAGCTCACTCTTTCTCTCTCACATAAGGGCAAAAAAGTTCATCAACGTAACCTTGCGCAATCGGAGTTCTGCTTATAAAATATATGTAGAAAAGCGTAAATGATGGTCATCAAAAGTTGAGTATATATTTTTCGTATTTCAGCAGAGTTTCGGGACTATTAGTGCATCAGTAATATGAGATGAATTCACCCTATTTCGTGTAAGGTAGATGAATTTTCCCACTGACGATTCCATTGAATGTCACATAGCCTTGCTTTGCCAAAAGTTGTTCTCATCCAGGCACCAGTGGACTGCAGTTTCGACCTCGCATCGGTCTTATCAACATCCCCAGCGGGAGTCGAACCGAGACAGTGCAGAATGTGAGTTTTTACCCGTTAACCACTCGACCACATTGCCACGAGTGCCCTTGGGTCACAGGGCAGATGTGAATTTCAAGGAAGGTCAGACCTTTTGCTCTAACAATCGACTACGTTACTTATTTTTCATATTTAAGTAGACTTTCGAGACTACCAGTAAATCAGTAATATGAGATGTATTAACCCTATTTCGTTCGCATATACACGAAACCAGCGGTGATGGCTCATTGCAATTAGGACACAAACACGAAGTCTCACTTTATGCATAGTTTCAATTTGCCATTTCCTCAGCAGTTCATTTATCTCTTTTCTTGGTTCTAAGT